ACCCACCCGGCTGGAATCTCGGAAATGGTGAGAGTCTAATTTTGATGCTCACGAAAATTTCAACAGGACGGCTTTAAGGTGTGGACTTCTCCTAACTGCTTATCCTTTTGAAAATAAAAGCAACAGTAATCTCAGAAACAACTCTGTTTCCTGGTCCTGTTTCTTCCCTGAAGTGCTGGACCCTGTCCCAGGATGTCTTTGCCTTTCTGATATGGTAGACCCTGCCTTCAGATATCTCTCAGGCGTCTTTTAGAGCTCCCCAAGTCTTATTTCTACCTTATCTGTGAATATGTGACCACAGAGGATTTAAAGATGTGTAAAAATCACAAGTTATTTTATCCTTTGTAGCCCATGACAGTAGTAACACCAGCCCCAGGCTGCTTCAACTGAAGTCCCATGCCCTGAATGTACCAGTGTGATTTTAGATCAGTTTCTGAATCTGTCTGTGCCTCAGTTTCCTAATCTATATAATGTGGATAATGCGGACTATTTCTGAAAGGTCAGTTATGTGAAACAAATGTTTTTAGCTATGTAAAATTCATAAACTGTTCCTGAGGCAGTACAAGTGAAACTTTCCTGTAGAGGTCATTTGTAATAGACTTGTCATGAGCTCTATTTTTTTTTTTTTTTAAGGACTTATAGGTTGAATTGTCTTGGAGTGTAAGGACCTCAGCTATCTGAAAGAGTTTGCAAGAGATCAGAAAGTTGTCATTAACCTTCCTCAACTGGCCTCTCGGTCCTGTCTTAGTTACCATCAGAAGCACCCCCCACTCCATGCTAAAAAGGGTCCGAGATACTGCCTCAAACAGCAGGGAGGAACCAGAGTTTGGAAGAACACTTCAGCAGGCTTTCAAAGTCCTTTCTTGAGCTCTCTTTCCTGCTGTCAGGGGGACCTGTGGAGGAGTCCTATGGTGATAGAAGAAAGCAAGAAGCCACGGAACTCTACTTTCTTCTGAGACACAGTTAGGTTATGAGGAGAGGAACTCTCCTAAGCTGCATGAGCCTGCCTGAGTGTCTTTGCTGCTTGTGGGCTCTGGATCTGTGTGAATTGTCTGAAGCATCTCTGCCCTATCAGAGGTGGCTTTTTACAGCTCTCTTTCATTTGCACTCCAGGCTCACTAATGAGGCCCAGGGCAAAGAGTAAGTACATGACTACTGCCTTCCACCTGGAGCATGCTCACACAAGAGCAGCAGCTGGCCAAGCGCTGTGCAGCCAGGGCCCTCAGAGCACAATCTGGCTGAAAGAGTTTTGGCCCCGACAGGACACTGTAGCTGATAAAGCCTCAGGCAGAACCAAAGAGCTCCATCTTCCCCACCCTAGGAATTTACCTCTGGCGCCAAAGGAGAGCCAATGAGATACCTGTGCATCCCTAATGCCCACTAGGCACCACCCCCAACCTAAACTACATGTATGTCCCCACTCCACATGTTCCACGGAGAGATTGCCGGGGTCTCTCCCTGCATTCTCAAAATAAAGGTCATTTATATTTCATACTTCTTATCTGTTCAGCTGCCGCCGGTCCCCCACAGTTCTATCACTGGCCAGGAAGGGTAGACTTGGACTGGTCTGTTTCAAAGTTGCCAGTCCCTGCTAGACCCTGCAGTGAATTACCTTGGCTGCATGTACCTTTGGTCTTCAGTGAAATGCATTGACATCTCAAATTCCCTACACCTTCTCTGCTTGAGAAACCACCTGCGGTTGGATGCAATTCTGCCTTCAGTTCTGACTGCTCTCACTTTCCCTGTTGGCCAATAGACAGTGTTTCCTTGCTTGCTTCCCTCACCTTCCTATTACTACTGCACTGCTCTTGTGGGAGTCCCACCAAAGCTGAGCCAGGAAGGCAGTGGTGTAGGGCTGCCTGAGCGTGAATTCGCGGTAGACCCCGTGAGTTCTCCATCAGCAAACAGCTCGGTGATGAGAGGTGTTTGCCTACAGAGGCCAGTACAGTTTAGTATATGAAAATAAACAGCATTTTGATTCCCCCAACATTTCTGAGTCCATTCATTAAGCGAGGTGCTTCTAGCAAAAGAGATCTTTTATAGTCATTTGATAAGACTGGGTAAAACATTATCAGTATACTTCGCAGATACTGAGAAATGGAACAAACTTAATACTAGGCTACACACCTCTTTGCAAATCAGGTATTTTCCAATTCATTGCTTTAAAAGAAGTTGAGAAAGAACTAATTGAATTGTCAGCTGTGAGATGATTAAAGTAATTTTTGAAGGTATATTACTATGTGATTTTAGCCATATATTTTAGCATTCATAGAATTGAATGTCATTGCTATACAAAATTCTTATTTCCATCTCTGTGGTTTTATGAATGAGATTTCTCTAAAAGCAAATACAAGAACAGAATTTATCCTATATACTATCTCATTTGAGCATTAACACTTTTATTTGTAGAACTGTGAAAAGGCTTTTCAGTGTAATTAAACTTGAATTTATAGTAAAAGATAATTTTTGTTTAATTATTAATTAAAATGTACAATAGATTTATGTTGCTTTGTCAATTTTATATTTGTAATGATAACTCCTTTTCAGAGCAAATATTATTACATAGAGTTTTATGATCATAGCCCATAAAAGAAATTTAAATTTCAATCTGTCTGTATTGTTGCATATAAATGTTAGGTGATCAATAAAAGAGCTTTAAGTGTAAAATATATCCTGCAAATAGAGGAATATTTAACAGAAGTACAAGTTCAGGTTCAAATGGAACAACACACTTTTTCTACTTTCAAAGAAAAGCTTATCAATGGACTTTGAATGTGCAGAATTATGATTATAGTTACAGTTGTCTTAAAATTTCCCCTGTATATGTATTATATATATGCACATATATACAGATATATACATAAGTACACATGTATGCCCACACACATAAATAATTTCTGTTACATTTTTTATTTTACAATTTTTATTTTAAATTTACATTTTTATTTTAAAATGATTTTCTCTATAGAACAAAAATGAATCCTTTAAAAGTCTAACTTAAATAAACTTTTATGTCAATTTAAAAATGTGCAAAAGCTTGCAGAGCCTATGGAAAAAAGAAAACAAGAATATGCATTTGCACTCAATCCCTGAGATTTGTGTAGTTGGGCCTGGAAGGAGAGGCCTTCACTGCGACCCAATTTACCTTCCACCCTCAGGCTTCCTGCTGCCTAGAATTCTACCACTTGAGCTCCAGCCTTCAGATGGAACCACCATGTGTTGCCCTAAGAAACACTTTTGAAAGTGAGGAGCAGGAAGGTCCCTTAAGGTTTTAGTTTTCACAAGGAACATAGAAAATTACTGTAGAATGAGGTAAACAGAGCATAAGATTAAACAAGGCCCCGGGATGAGGGGCTGCCCTGTACCCAAGCTGCACCACACCGTGGAAGCAGGAAGGAAGCATTAGGTGGAACCTATCAGTTCTGAAATTGGATGCAGCTGGGCCTCCAGAACTCACCATAGTGAATCTAGGCTGGAGATAAGAGTAAATTATATCTCTATAGAGATGTTCATGGCATTAGTGTGAGTCTATGCCAGGAAAAACTAAGTCTTCATGAGTTTTATCCACGGGAGGAGATGTCTATGAAGAAGAAAAGGAACAGGCTATTGCTGAGTTTGGAATCGATGCAGAGGGATTGATTGGCTGGACCTTCAGGATCTTTGGAACACCCACGTTGCTTATTCACTTAGTGTGGTTCACATGTGAAAATGTGCTTGTTTGGTTTGTGTAGTCAGAGAGAACAACACCTTAAAAGCGTTAGAACAGTCTCTGGTTATCACTCAGAATATCCTTCTGAGCCTGCACCCTGCTTCCTGTCATTGCGCCTGCCCCTGGATGACTGGTGGGCCTGAGGAGGGAATCCCAGTATCATCTTCATCCTCCCTACCCACCAGAGCTAGGGCTTCCCTGGTCTCAGCACATTCCCTCCAAAGGAGCTGTCATCTGGACCCTCCATGGCCCACTCCTAAGTCTTGTCCAGGGCTCTCTGTTGCAGGCCAGGTACAAGGCCAGATGAATGAGGCAGGGCTTCTTTTCCTTGTGTTCTTAGAAGCCTGGGCTCACTCTCCTCTCACTGCTGGGACAGCAGGGTTGCTGTGGGTCATAATGTGCCCTTTGGAGCCCCAGTCTGTCTTGCTTCTGTGCTCGGGTTCTCAGCTACCCAGGACGTCTGCAGATGCTCTTCCTTACCAACAAGCACATCCATCTCTGTGTAACTCTTGGTGTTCTGTAGCTCACACACTGAGATAAGCAAATTTCATTGTAATGGGTGCCTTCTTGGCTGAGGAGAGTGGGTGAGATGTACTCTCTGCTTTGATAATTACGTTCTTCTCCCCAGGGGGCAGAGGGAGGAGTACATGGGGGAACAGGGGCACCTCTGATAATGTCCTTCTTCTCTCCTGAGACCGTAAGAGATAACCTTGCCTCTCTTACACACTGCTGGATTTCCAAGGTGAACTTTACAGTGTTACAAACAGGAGTCTGCAGACTCCTGGTGATTTGGGTGTACATGGAGATTACCATCACCTGGTGTTCTGGCAGTACATAAGAGCAAGTTTTGATTAACTACAAGTTAAGTATTTGCTTTGTGGATTATCTGTGGCCTCTGTGGATTTCAGTCTGTCTGATGTGAAATACTGTACTGATCCACTCTTCTTCCCCTGTGCCTTGGGCTGTTTCTCCCACAAGGTGATAAATGTGTTGAAGAAATATCAACTAATTCTCATGTAAACTTGGGGTGGGGAGCAAATATGCAGCAAAGACTGGCACATAATATGGCCCTAAATCCAACAGAAATGGTTTTGAATCATCCACTCCTGAGAGTGATTCGGGCCTCAGTTGCCATGCATTCAGGAAGTTTCATCAAAACTGCTGCTTCGTGTTAGTACTGTGTTGTTTCACTGACTACTTGATATTTATGATGCAGTCCCATCTTTCTTTTTCTGTTCTCTCTCTCCCATCTCCCTGCCTCCTCTCCCGTCCTTACCCTTGTACCTCGTAGGTGTACCATAGATGACCGGGTCACCCGGGTAGCCTGGCTGAACCGCAGCACCATCCTCTATGCTGGAAATGACAAGTGGTCCATAGACCCTCGTGTGATCATCCTGGTCAACACACCTACACAGTATAGCATCATGATCCAGAACGTGGACGTGTACGATGAGGGTCCGTACACCTGCTCCGTGCAGACGGACAACCACCCCAAAACTTCCCGAGTCCACCTCATAGTGCAAGGTAAGTTGCAACTGAGCTCAGAAGTTGATGCTCCTTTTAGTGATGGAGGGCAGGAGTGCTTTAGACTTTGTTCTGTCCATGTAGGAAGATAGAATGGTCATTTTCTGCTGTGGAGTCCATGGAATGAGGAAACAGCTTCTAAAGGCTTCTTAGTGTTGTCTCTAGCACATATGTCTTCACCACTAAGTTGTTTTATGTTATCTGGTTGAACTTTCTTATATAACTTAGCTTTCTAGTGCTGCATCAGGATATATCAAACCTTGATACGCACTAAGCTAATCAAATTGCTTCTTAAGAATCTTTTGGGGCCTTACTTTATTTTTTTAAAAAAAGAGTTGATACTGAAATCGAGCATGTGACCAGACTGGGTTTGCATAGTCACTGGATGGTCATGCATGTTCTGGGTGGGCCTCTGAGTGTCTCAGTCGGGTACCCTGCCACTGCTGCTGTGATGCTCAGTACCATGGCGGGGGCTGCGAGTCTTGATGATGTCTCCTCTAGCTGCTGAAAATCAATTGACGTAATTAAAGAGGCAGGAGGGGAAAAGAGCTTCACATCTTGTTTAGTTTCTGAAGTCTGAATCAGTACAGCCAGGGCACAGTATCAATGTGATTCTTTTTAAAAACTATTTTTTAATTTAACTTACATTTTTTAGCTAAGAAGCAGAAGTGAAGAGATGTCAGAATCCCAGATTACTGACACTGGATGCTAAATATTAAATATTACGTATTATAAACTTGTGCAGAGAACAGTTCTGAGGATATAAGAACCATTTTCAGACAAGGCAGCAATCAAGACACACTTATTCTGGGCTAACTCGACTGCCAACACTATAGGAAGTGTTTTCTGTAGGACAAATCTCATGTGGGAATGCAGCTCCAAGCGGTGATTTCTGGCCACAGAGACACCAGCTTCCTTTGCCAGATGAGAAGTCGGGGTGGACTTTTCTCAGGATATTCTTTACAACTTCCTGGGGACAGACAGTGGTTTCCCAGAAAGTGTACCTGTGCGGAATTTAGTCTCCCCAGTTTTATCTGATTCCATATGCCTTAGAATGCACAGATTTTTTTTTTATTTTTAGATTATGAAATGTGAACAGCACCCTTGCTTAGCTCAGAAATATTTTCATCTCTGATTTTAAAAAATATGATGAATTCATTTCTGCTGCTCTTGTGGAGAAAGGCTAACTGGGGTTAACATCTATTCATGCTCAGTTCTGGATGCTCGTTCTTCCCTTGGCTGGAGCAGCCCTTTGCTAAGGCAGCACCTGTAATGACTGCAGGCCGGTTGCAAGATTGCAGTGTGATAGCTGGGCTGCAGAGCTGTGTGCTGCAACTTCCGGTCCCCAGGAGACTCTGGGACCTCCAGTTCAGCCCATCCTTTGAGCCATTCCCACTCCCACATGCCTTGAGGGACTCGCTAGGGCCCCCATGTGGCACATTTGGAGATGTCACAGAGTCCCATTTCCATACCCTGCCCAGGCATTTGGTGACCTTCACTCTTGGGAGTCAGGAGAGTACCCCCACCTGGGGATGAAAATGCTGGTCACATCTGAGCCTTCTTTTCAAAGGAAGTAGGAGGCACCTGGTCAGCTGAGTCTTTGGATACTGTGGGGGTGTAGGAATCAAGGACTTGTGAGTTCTCACCACCCCAGCTGCCACCTGGGCTTAATTCTAGAGGAGCTGAAATTCTCAGCAATGGAAATGATACCGCAGTGACACCTCCATGGCCTTGACAGCAAAATTGTCTTCACATTCTAGTGATGTGGCAATGAAATAAAAAGAATAACTGTCAGGTCCTACACAAAAACAGCCTCAAACAGAGCGAGGTTATCACTTCTCAAGGAAGAAGGCCAGTTGTGTGGGCACCTCAAAGTCCGTGCAGGCCCTACAGGGCTTGTGGTGCAGACTGCTGAAGCCATGCCCTTTGAGGATAATTTGAGCCATTCCTTGGGCAGGATGTACAAACTCAGGGTGTACCCCCACCCCCCAGTCTCCAGCCATCAAGGGTCAGAGGATGGGGAACAAGCAATCCAGCATGGCTAAGAGACACTAATGCTCCCCACATTCCCGACACCACCCACACTGACTCCAGTCATCTGATCTGGTGTATGGCGGAGAGAGGAGAGGCTGACCCTGGGCATCTGGGAAATATGGCTCTGTCCATCTACAGAGAAGCCCCTCAGGGAATGGTCTAGCCTCCCTCTCAGCTGACCACACAGCAATGTACTCTTCGTTTAGAAACCAGCTGAATTGCTGGGGTGCACACGCAGACCCCAGCTCTCCACGAGAAAGAGGCCCAAGGCTCTGCTTCCCATAGCTATCGGCTTTCATCCAGTCTATAGATTAATTTTTCAGACTTAGTGTTAGTTCAGGTTAGATAAAGATAATGAAAGTTTTCTAATCCTCTTAAAGGAGATTTATCTGACTGAATAGAAAGCCTTTGGAATACAATAAGACATGTATAAAACTGAGGCCTAATCTTGCCTTTAATTTTAAACTGCTGATGGGTATTGATTTTACAATGAAAAAAACTGAAAAATTTCCGTGCTGCAACTTGCCTGTTTAAAAAAGTAAGTGTTTATTTATCTTCTGTCCATTTGGGAATGTTAATATCTCATTACTTCCCCCAACCAGGTGCCATTAGCACGAGGAGACCAGTCCCATGGGGCTCCCAACGCTGCTGTTTCCAGCACTATAAAGAATTAAAGGCTGTCACTAACCTCAGCCTCTGCCCTTCACTATTATGTAAGACAGTCTCTGCCTTAGCTCTGCTGACACTAATTTCCCAGTCCATGTCTTTGCAAAACAAAGCTGCCTTCATTAAAATACCATCACTGACACTCCAGGAAGTACAGCTCAACTACTTAGGGCATCCTTTGAGTCCCTGTGTAAGCATGAGGGTAAATCACTGGACCCTCTAGCCCAGTTTTAAGGAAACCTCAGTACGGGGACGAATTGATGTTAAGAAAATCCGACCAGTGGTCCCTGTCCAGGATAAGCTGCGGTGGAGGCAAGCGGGAGGAGCTAGGGCAGGCTGTGGCTCATCTTGTCACCTGAGGTGTATGACAGCAGGGGAATGTGAGTCTGTAGAAATAGAGAAATGTTGTCTGCTATGGTTTGTGTATGAAATGTCCCACGAAAAATGTCCTCTGATCAGGGGTGGCACTTTCGGAAAGTGAGCAGATCTTGAGGGCACTTAGTACATGTTTGCCATACATAATGGTCAGATTTTCCATGGGGGATTTGTATTGGTACACAAAGAAAGGTTTCAAATTTAGATGGATGGTTTCAAACTTAGATGACATTCATGGGAGTGATGGAACTTAGGAGGCGTGGCCTGGTTGAAGGCAGTGGTCATGGTGGTATAACTTTGGAAACTGTAACTTGTATTTGACTCTTTCCTCTGGAGATCTCCCATCTTTCTCTCTCTGGTTTCTGGCTCCCATGAGGTAAGCAGCTTTCTCTGTAGGGCTCTTCTGCTGTGATGGTTCTGCCTTGCAAGAGGCCTGGAGCCAGCAACCCATGGCCTTTGAAATGAAGAGCCAAATTAAACTTTTTTTCTTTTACCTTGTTTCTACCAGGTATTATGTCACAGTAATGAAAGTGAACATCTTGCCCAAGGGAATTGGAAAGTACTAACCATAATGCCTTGAAAGAGGAAGAATTAAATGTATCACTTGTGTTTTTGAGTTGGGGAAAATATCTGTGGCTTTTGTAGGAGGTGGAGAGGCAGGACATTGTGACACTTGGAAAGAACAGTCTTCAGCTTGCTAGGTTTAGAAATAAGGGGAAACAAACATTAAGGAGATGTTGCAGAAAAGGGAGCAGGGTGGTCGAACATCAGCAAGATGTTTGAGGAGCAGCGTGCGCCCACCAGCTCAGGAGTAGGTAGGTTGCTGAGGGTACGTATTCCCTGAGAACAGCCAAAATTGTAATGTGGCTTCTCGACCTTCAACTCTTAGCTCACTATCCAAGGCACTGTTGGCTCTCTGCAGATATTTGTTTGATGATGAGCAGAAAGGAACAGATTGGTTCAGCAACTGAAACCTGAAAGAGCCGGAGTGCACTGATCACAAAGCCCCAGCAGGCCACAGGGGCGGGAATGAGCTGTTCCCCAGACTCGGCATGGACAGTGCAGGGGAAATCTCCCAGGAGAAAAGGGCTTAACAGGAATAACGCGAATTCCACACACTCATTCAGTGCTTTATAGGGATGGTCACAGTCTCTGTTGCATTTTACCCGCACAGTAAGTCACAGTAGGCTGCAATACACTGGGGCCGTTTACACATTAGCCACCTGCTGCTCCTGAAGGAGACCTGCCAGGGTCCCCATAAGTAAGTGACAGAGCTGAGTCTTGGGCCTTGGCCAAGTGACTTCAATATCAGTGTCTTCCAAATATACTATGATGTCAACTATTTCTAGTTATTTCTCTGCTCCAGATTACTGGAAAACCTCCAGGTTTCATGTAGATTATTTTACTTTACTTATTTCCATTTTTTTCCTGCTGTGGATATCATACTGTACCAACATAAATTAAAGACAACCTCAAGAAAGCTACCATAAATGGTGTAGAGAGGCTGAGAGAGGCAGCAAAGAAGATAATTAATTTTCTGGTAGCTCATCCCTTCGGGGATGCACATTGGAAATGTTGCTTCTTTATCCTATGTAAGTGCTGAAAACCCTGGCCCCTTTGAGGGGCAGGATCCAATTGTCATTCTAATCATTACCAACTCTGAAGAGTTCAGCCTCCTGAAAAACTACTCAGAGATCTCTGTGGTGCTGGGATTGATGTTTGTTAGGGACAGATAAAAGAGGAAGAGCTGGCCTATCTTTGTTTCTTGAATGCCCATATTCTCCACCTGTTGTCTGAGCTAGCTGCAATGTCTGTTTACTACAAGGTATTTCATGAAATGAACACTTTTTGCAGAACTCAGATTTGTGCACAGGGTTAGCCATGACGAATTACATTAAATTTTCACATAAAAGACTTAACTGCAA